CATATGAGGCTATTGAAAACACTGGAAAGCAGCTCCACTTCTCTAGGAGCTAGAGTCTAAATAACGGTTCCAAGGAAATTACTACCTACTACATAGTGTTCATTACAGTCATATCAGATGGAACTATTCTTGTGTGATGCTGTAGGATCAGCACTGGATTACAAACCACAAGGTCAGCAGTTCAAGCCCACCAGCTGCTTCTCAGAAACCCTATACAGGGTCACTATGAGTCAGAATCAACTTGACAGCTCTTAACAACAACATAGTCACTGTCATTGGATATTTTGCTGTATTTCTTTGTTATTTCAATGATAAGTGTGGTTGTTGTTGTTGTTAAGTGCCTTCGAGTCGGTTCCGACCCATAGCGACCCTGTACAGGGTTTCCGAGGGTGTAAATCTTTACGGGAGTAGAAAGCCTCATCTTTCTCCCACGGAGCGGCTGGTAGTTTCAAACCGCTGACCTTATGGTTGGCAGCCCGATTCGTAACCACTACGCTACCAGATAAGTGTGGTACTCCACACAAAAGAGAAAGAAATAGCACTAAACTTGAGGTCCTGTTTAGCTCAGTCAAAGTTGCATTAACAGCTCAAATCCAACAACAGTTAATCAATGTCAAAAACTCATCATATAGCCCTCAAAAAAAGGAACCACAAAAGGCAGAAGCAGAACACAGAGTTTCCATGGTAAAAACTCAGGACAATTTTTAAATCTACAATGAAGATGTATTGTTTCTGTCAATCAATCAAAGTAATCACACAAGAAATCAAGCAGTCTTTGGAGCTCAGTATAGGATCTAAGCAACCTAAACATATTCACAATCTAGCTCCATCAAGAGGAAAAGAGGTTTTTCATGGGTAATGAAGAGGTATATGAACAGTCCCACATTCCTGAACAGCTTATGAATTATCTGTTGCCAGTCCAATGCCATTCTTGAAACATCTCATCCTTTTTCTACTCCCAAACAGTTGTTGTTGTTGCTAAGTGCTGTTGAGTTGATTCCAACCCATAGCGACCCTGTATAGGGTTTCCAAGGAGCAGCTGGTGAGCTTGAACCGCTGACCTTGCAGTTCAAACAACTTTGCAGTCTGACGCTTTAGCCCATAGTGACACACCATGCTGCTAAATCAGCTACCTTGCCAAGAAAGGGACAGATAGTCTATGGCCAATTGATGCAACCAGTAAGGAGAGAGAACTTTACATAGCCATTGCTAAAAATGCCAATGCATTCTCATGCACAGCCCCCAGATGCCAGGGAAGAGAAGACAGCACTTGAAGGTCAGCAGAGCTTGCCATCCCAAATGTCAGATTGGGATTCTACTAGCTGACTAAAATCCATCTCAGTTCCTGGAATCCTAAATGAAACTGTTGTAATGACTCCATATCCATCAGAGTTTTAAAGCATATCAGAACACACCGTCCTGGAGCTGTCCAAAGGGAAGTCCACTTCTTGATGGAAAGTCAGTTGCCCAAGCGAGACATTCTTTTGTAGACCTGAAAAAGAGCAAGAGAACCCCAAGCGATGACACAAGTCTAGACTCTGGAGTGGACATGAATGAGCAACATTCAAGTACAAAGCTTGAGAGGGAGAAAACGTTCATCAAAAGAATGCATCAAGGGTCTGGTAAAAACAGATGGGGATACGATCCTGATGATTCAATAGTGAGTAATTGTTATCATGAATAATTCCAACTGTTGCAATTGTAAAGGTAGAAGTTTTGTTACAAAAATGGGGGAGTAATTAATCTCACAGTCCCAAAACAGAGGACCCTAGGACCATCAAGGGAGAAGAGCACGAGAGGAGTGCGGGACCTTATCCAGAAAAGCAGCAACACCAGAGATGGAGGCAGACATGGGGACATGGAGAGAGGGAGAAGCTGAGGACTCTAGATTCATGGGAAGAGAGGGACTAAGAGCTGCCGGCCATGAGGCAGACTTGCAGAATGTGCCCTTTGGTGGTGTAAATTATTATATATGCCTGAGTATTTAAAAAAAGAAGAAAAAGAGCTAAAATGAATAAAGAGAAACACTAGTAACTGATGGATGGTACATGGAGGGTATTATAATCATTGTAATGAAACAAAGTATATGATTTATTGAATGTAAAACTGATGATCTGCCCTGTAAACTTTCACTCAATTCACAATAAAAAAAAAAAAGAAAAAAAGAATGCATCAACCTAGATCCTTAACTTAGAAGATTTAGACCAAAGCTGTAGTGCACTGTCTGTTCCCCTGGGGACCCCATTTTAAAGTGCATACTAGATAGAGGACATATCATGAAACATCCTATAGAAGAGTCCCTGGGGGTGGGGGGGAAGAATTGTTGAAGATTTTGAAGCCAAAAAAAAAAAAAAAAAAAGTGAAATCACCACTAGCTAAAAGAAATAGCAAGACTAATATCTGGAAGAAGCAAGAAGAGTGTCCACAGATTCCCATAAATTAACACCAAGGATGGTTGTACCTCTAGTGTCTTTGTACTGTTTATTCATGCTTTTTATAAACTGCAGAATGAACTTCTTTGGAAGTTGAGACTGAACAATCCCATGGCCCCTGGACATGTACCAAGCAGAGCAAATAGTAAAACTATAATTACAGTAATCAGAATGAAAGACACTGAGGATTTTTTCCCCAGCCTATTCTTTTGAATGTTTGGGGGGCTTTGTTTTTGTTTTTACTTTTTATTGTGAATTAAGTGAAGGTTTACAGAGATCACTAGTTTTGCATTCAACAAATCATATATCTTGTTTCATCTCAATAACTTCAATCTCCATGCAGTTATCCTGCTTCCTCCCTGTGGTTCTTATTTCCATTCCACCCACCTTCCCATCTCTTCTCAACTTTGGCCTTAGGGAACTGTTGCCCTATTGGTTTTGAATGGTTGACTATTCCATGATAAACACACCTTACTAGTGTTGCTGTCCCCATTATATACCTATCTATTTCTTGACTAAAATTTGGGCCACAAGAGTAAGTTTAAGTTCCTTTCCAGACCTGAAAGGTGGTCAAGGGTCCTATCTTGGGTTCCTCCAGTCTCTTTCTGACCAGTAAGCCCGTTTTTTGTTTTTTCTTTATAATTTTTAGTTTTGTTCCACATTTAATCCCACTCCAACTGGGACCTTCTAATATGATCCTTTTCAGAGCAGTTGATAGAGGTAGCTGGGCACCATATAGTTTTTCTAGTCTCAAAGTCATGGAGACTGATGTTCACATTGTATTAATTGATTTCAACCATCATCAGTTCTCAAGACTCTTCTTCCTTTTGCACATGGAAAGACCAATAGTTGTACCTTAGATGGCCTTTAAGTTCCTAGATACTACTTACCAAAGTAGGACACAGAACATTGTCTTTGTGGACTATGTTATGCCAATTGGCCATAGTGTTATCTGAGACTAAGGTCCATAGTCTCACTATCTTAAAATGCTTGATAATAATATCTAAGAAGTCTTCCTCATTTTCCCCCCTGTAAGCTCCACCACATTCAGAGCTGTGTTTGCTGCAAAGGTAAATATCCATGTACAACTATCCTCTTTCAAATCATTATATATATATATATAGTCCCACTTTTCCTCCCATACATGATCAGCCTATGTATCTGTTCATGCATCTATCCACAAAACACTGTTGTTCCAAGGTTGTATATATAACACCATTTATCCATGGGATCAATTAAGACAATGTGAACAACAGGTACACCTACACACATCTACACATATATGTGTGTGTGTGGGTGTGTGTAGGTGTACTTGTTGTTAAGTGCCATGGAGTCAGTTCCAACTCATAGCGGCCCTGTACAGGGATGCCAAGGCTATAAATCTTTACGGGAGCAGAAAGCCTCATCTTTCTCCCGCGAAATGGCTGGTAGTTTTGAACTGCTGACCATGAGATTAGCAGCCCAATTCATAACCACTATGCTACCAGAGCTCCTGTTGGTTGGTTGGTTGGTTGGTTACATGTCGTGGAATCAGTTCCAACTCATAGCGACCCTGTACAGGGTTTTCAAGGCTATAAATCTTTATGGGAGCAGAAAGCCTCATCTTTCTCCCGCGGAACAGCTGGTAGTTTTGAACTGCTGACCTTGAGCTCCTGTAGGCATATGTATATGTGTATATATATATGTTTGTGTGTGCTGTACATATATTCACATATATGAAAGGCTTAAAGAAGTTCATGGAAACATTCCATCATCTTTTCATTCCATTTTTCCATAAAATTTTTGAATCCCCTTAAAAATAATGAGGATTCCTGATGTGGCATTGTAAAATAAGTACTGGACTGCAAACCACAAGGTCAGCAGTTCAAACTCACCAGCCGCTCTGGGGAAACCCTACACGGGGTAATAAGAGTCAGAACTCACTACATGGCACTAAACAACAACAAAACTACAATATAACAAAGCACACAGGGGGACACAGTCATGGATACTTCCCAGATATAATGAAACACTCCACAGGACTAGCTAACTAGGTTTCAAAGTGTAGCACAATAATCTTGTGGAAAGACTTGATCAATCGACATAACATAATCTAAAATTTTTTATATTCTACAACCTAGTTTAGTAAGCAACAGCTGGAGTCTTAACAATTTGTAAGCGATTATTGAAAATACAATTATTGGTCTTTATTTATCTGGAGCAAAAGAGAAAAAATGGAAGCAATGACTCAATGAAGAAACTAGTGTACAAGACCAATTGCCTACATGCACAGTGGGCTCATCTATCCTGAGATAAGACTATCTAGATGGTACCTAACTGCCACTACTCACCTACTCACCATTCTCATAGAGACACAAAAGATGGTCCTGGAGAAAACAGGAGAAAATTGTAGACCAACACTCAAATTCTTATGAAAATGACTGGACTGGTAAAGACTAGAGGAATCCCTGAGACTACTGCCCTGAGGTACCCTTTAAACTTTGAAATGAGATTTTGTCTTCCTTTCCTTCCACTGTACCCTTCAAACCGAAACTAGAGCCTGTCGCTCACAGATTCTCAGCTTTCGCCATGGCCCTCAGCGATGCTGACAAGCAAAAGCAGATTAAGCACATGATGGCATTTATTGAACAAGAAGCCAATAAGAAGGCAGAAGAAATAGATGCAAAGGCAGAAGAAGAGTTCAACATTGAGAAAGGTCGTCTTGTGCAAACCCAAAGACTGAAGATTATGGAATATTATGAAAAGAAAGAAAAGCAGATTGAGCAGCAGAAGAAAATTCAGATGTCCAATTTGATGAATCAAGCAAGACTGGAAGTCCTCAGAGCGAGAGATGACCTTATCTCAGACCTACTCAATGAAGCAAAACAGAGACTCAGCAAGGTGGTGAAAGATACAACCAGGTACCAAGAGCTGCTGGATAGACTGGTCCTCTAGGGTTTATACCAGCTGCCGGAGCTCCGAATGATTGTTCGTTGCCGGAAACAGTATTTCCCTCTGGTAAAGGCTGCGGTGCAAAAAGCAATCCCTATGTATAAAACGGCCACCACTCGTCTGTCTGTCGTGCTGTGGTGG